TGAGTGAGTGCCTCCTGTGCTGCCTCACTTTCTTGAAAGATTTCAATTTTTATTCCATCAATTCCTGCTGCCTTGTTCTTTGCCAATTCCTTCAATGTACTTTGGACTTCCTCCCTGAGTATCATTGGCTCTTGTTCATATGGGACCTCTTGAAATAGTTGAACATTAACCATTTCCTTTTGGTACAATGACTCTTATGTATTCCTTCCATCTTTTCTTGATGCATTCTGCATCATTCAATAATTTTCCCAGAGAATCTGTCAATAACGAAAGTCGAGGCTTATCTATAGGCATATACTTATACAAGTTTGTATGTGCTGCATGTATAACCACATATATAATAAACCACATAGGGGACACAGTTCCAGAGGCCGCCTAGATACATACAAACAACTTGTAGGAGTGATTTATAAGATTAAAGTGTTGAGACCATAGACTCAGGACAACCTGGTCAACTGGCATAACAATTCACAAGAGAATATTCTGTGTTTCCATTTAGTGAGGTCTTAAAAACTTTTGAGTGCCAATTTAAGATACAACTACAAAGAATGAAGGAAATCATAAAGGCTCAAAGAAGAAACTAATCCGGGGGACAAATAGCCCATTTAAGAACCTCAGCCTCTGGTAACTGGAGACAAGAACTGATGATGTCCAGCTACTGCTAGCAGCCATTCTGACCATGGATACAAAAGAAAGTCCTGAATAGAACAGAAGAAAAATGTAAAAAGTCAAATTCCTAACAAGGCCTGACCTACTGTACCCATTGAGACAAGAAGAACCTATGTGATAACCTTTGAAGGCACATGATTCCATTCAACCAAGTAACAGATTGATTTAGAACAGATTGACCCATGAGTATGTGACCCCTTAACCTATGAAATACTTGGGACCAACCTGTCAACATTCACTCCAAAGCAAAGGTGAAAAGACATGAAAGGGAAGGAGGCTGTATCCATGGAAAGAGAATGGAAATAATGAGAATGCTGCCATGTGGACATGTGTAACTAGTGGCACAGAACAGTTTGTATACAAAATGTTAGAGGGGAACCGAATTCACTGTATACATTTTCACCTAAAAGAAAATAAAACATTTTAAAAAATGTATCAGGAGTCTCTTAGTTCTGGAAAAACAGGATCATAGGCCTAGTATGGGTACACATCACCAATCCTATGGCCCCTTCTCCCCAATACCTGTCATTTCAAAATAATAGTGAATGTCAGTATCTCCCAAACTTAAACAGGATCTTGTCAATACACAGATTTCTGGATTCTACCTCCAAAGTTCTGATTCAGAAAGTCTGGCATTCAGCCCCAGAAACTGTAGTTCTAACAAGTTTCCAAGTGAGGCTGACACTTAGATCTACTGGTTTCTATATCCTGGGTCTGTATCTTAGCCTATGGCTCAGAAACAGATTTTACGGTGACAGGAAAGGTAACTTCCTTTCTCAAGAATGGGCAACAATAAGCCAAGGTCACAAAGTATCTATGCCAACCTAGTGGTTTCTAAGAACTAAAAGTACCACAGTGAACAGAATCCTTTTATCAGCTTGGGAGGGACACTGTCTCCTGTGGGCAGCTCTGCAAGCCTAAGCAATCAAAAATCAGAAGGAGCCGGGGATTTGAACCAAGAGACTATTTACCTGTTTGCTGCAACCACCTTTATCAAATGCAAGGTTTTGCCAAAAGGTCATATTCTTAAGTCAGTCAAGACACCTGGATTTTGAGCCCGGATAAAGAACGGAGTATACTGTATCATTAAACATTTCTCGTTTATAGCTATTAGACGTATACTGTTTTTATAAAATAAGAAATTTGGGGGCAACATTTGTGGTTTACTGCTGTCAAGTCAATACTGACCCATAGCGACCCTGTATTAGAGTTTCCGAGGAGCAGTTGGTGAGCTTGAACCACTGACCTTGCAGTTCAAACAGCTTTGCAGTCTGGCAAATTAACCCACAGCACCACACCAGGATTAGCACATATTACGTTTTGTAAAGTACTGTGGAGTGGGTTCCGACTCCTGCACAGGGTTTCCGAGGCTGTAAATCTTTAAGCGAGCAGAGTGCCTCATCTTTCTTCTGCGGATCTGCTGGTAATTTCGAACTGCTAACCTTGAGGTTGGCAGCCCGACTAGTAACCACTATGCTACTATATAATAGGTGGAATCATGGTGTGACACTGCAGGTTAATACGCTGGACTGCAGGGTCACTTGGAACTACAAGGTTGGTGGTTCAAGCTCACCAACTGCTCTTTGGCAGCCCTATACAGTGTCGCTATGAGTTGGACCAGACTCAAAGGCACTTAACAGCAACATAAAATAGGTACAGTCCTAGTGTGATGCTGTGGGTAAATGCAATGGACTGCAAAGTCAGTTTCAACCCACGGTTGGTGGTTCAAGCTCACCAGGTGCTCCTCGGAAACCCTATATAACAATATAATAGGTACTCATAATGCAGTAAAGCATAAGACTATTTAAGTTGAAAAATAAGTACCTCTTAAGTTACAAATCATCACTCATCTGTCACATTGTTGTCCTGTGGTGGCTTTCATGTTGCTGGAGACGATGTCACTGGTATTTTGAGTATCAGTGAGGTAGACAGAAGTACAGCCAGAATGTGCCTTAGAAACAAAGACAGTGAAACTTTGTCTCAAGTACATTGGACATGTTATCAGGAGGGACCAGTCCCTAGAAAAGGACATCATGCTTGGTTAAGAGTGAAAAGGAGGAA